CCAGTCAGTTGTGCTCTGTGCTATTAGGGTAAATGTAGATCAGTGGAAAAGAGCAGAGTGACAGAGAGCAGCTTATCGATGTGCTGCTTCTTCTTTCAGTGTTCATTCTCAGGCTGTGGGAGGGACAAATCCTGTATGTGTTAACTGCAGTAGAGTAAAAATTTCAGTCTCCTGTCTTGCCAAGTTGCATTGCTTGTGCAAATTTCAAAACTGGATAGCCAGAAATAGAAATCCTGTGTAAAGAATGGATTATAATGAATATATTTATAGAATTTTCTAAAGAATCTGCATTCATTTCAGTTCAAAAATTGATGTCTCTGGTCAGACAGGGCCTTGTGGAAAAAAGCTGATCAGGTCTAAATTAGGTGTAAAGTCTTGCTTTCATAATACAGTGGTAGCTTTGCATGGTCTCCTTATGTACCGTATTTTTCGCTCCATAAGACGCACCTGACCATAAGACGCACCTAGGTTTTAGAGGCGAAAAACAAGAAAAAAAATATTCTGAACCAATGGACTGCAGACACAGTACAGGGGATGACCAGAGACTGTGGACATAGTATAGGAGATGACCAGAAACTGCGGACATAATACAGGAGATGACCAGAGACTGCGGACACAGTACAGGGGATGACCAGCGACTGCGGACACAGTGCAGGGGATGACCAGAGACTGCGGACACAGTGCAGGGGATGACCAGAGACTGCGGACACAGTGCAGGGGATGACCAGAGACTGCGGACACAGTGCAGGGGATGACCAGAGACTGCGGACACAGTGCAGGGGATGACCAGAGACTGCGGACACAGTGCAGGGGATGACCAGAGACTGCGGACACAGTGCAGGGGATGACCAGAGACTGCGGACACAGTGCAGGGGATGACCAGAGACTGCGGACACAGTGCAGGGGATGACCAGAGACTGCGGACACAGTGCAGGGGATGACGAGAGACTGCGGACACAGTGCAGGGGATGACGAGAGACTGCGGACACAGTGCAGGGGATGACGAGAGACTGCGGACACAGTGCAGGGGATGACGAGAGACTGCGGACACAGTGCAGGGGATGACGAGAGACTGCGGACACAGTGCAGGGGATGACGAGAGACTGCGGACACAGTGCAGGGGATGACCAGAGACTGCGGACACAGTGCAGGGGATGACCACAGACTGCAGACAGTGCAGGGAATGACCAGAGACTGCTGACCTTTGGGGAGGGAGGGGGAGCAGGTACCTGAATTTGACAGGTACCCGCTCCCAGTTCCGCGGAGTTGTCCTTCCCTCTTCTTCCCGGGCCGGCTTCTGTGACAGCCGGGTGCCCACTGCGCATGCGCGAGAAGCGCTGCGCTTTGTGAATGACCCGGCGCCTTCTGGGACCTGTCATGTGTCCCAGAAGACACCGGATCATTCACAAAGCGCAGCGCAGCACATGCGCAGTGGGCACCCGGCTGTCACAGAAGCCAGCGCGGGAAGACTGTGCAGCGCTGGAGCGAGGAAACAGGTAAGGCCCTGCAGGAGACAACAGCTGAGCGGCCGGCCCGGTATTCTGACATGGTGGCCGCAAAAATACCGGACCGGCCGCTTTATATTCGCTCCATAAGATGCACTGACATTTTCCCCCCTTTTTTGGGGGGAAAAAAAGTGCGTCTTATGGAGCGAAAAATACGGTAATTGTTGTATTATGTATTGTTATTCGGCCTGTTGGAAGGTCCTGACACACGTGATTATGGAAATATTAAATGAAGAAATAAACACACTGGCTTAAAGTAATATTAAAGCTACGTTTTTTTTTTTTTTTTTTTTTTTGTAATGAAAAATAACAAACATGTCATACTTACCTGCTCTGTGCAGTGGTTCTACACAGAACATCCATGATCCTCATCTTCTCGTTTCCCTTGCCAACTAACAGTGCCCCCAGAGCAAGTTGCTTGCTCTGGGGGCACTCATGCATGCTCGCTCCAGAGCCTGTGTGTTCATACGACACACAGAACGAGGCTCGGCCCTGCTCCTTGTCACTAGGTCTTATTGACAGCAGTGGGACCAGTGACTCCTGCTGCTGTATCTGAGCCAATGAGGAGAGCCGAGACAGCCTCAGCTCTCGTGCACATCGTTTCTATCAAGATTGGGCTCAGGTAAGTATTAGGGAGGCTGCAGGTGTATTTAAAAAAACTTTCCTTTTACAACCACTCTTTTTGTGATTTTTAAAATCCTTTTCATACTCATCCTGTGTTTATTTAAATGCATTATTTTTATCATGCTTCTCCCTTGCCATAGATCGATGCATGGGCTCAGTCTACTTCCCTTCCTGGACAGTTTACAGGAAGCACCGGAGCCCAGGTGCTGTCTGCCGATGAAATTAGTAACAGCGGCCCACAGGCATGGCTTAAAAAGGTATGCAGCAGACAAGCAGTGGTGTTTGCCTAGACTATGTACATGCTGATGTAGTGTTTAGAAAATGGCAAATTAAGAGCCAGTGCTTGTTTTTATCACGCTAAAAATATATTTAATTCGATTTATAAAGCATAGCACTGGAGAAAATCCTGTTCACAAACTACCACAAACTGAAACCTAAACTGCATTCAAACCCAAACTAAAAAACTGTAGTATTACATTTGGTTAAAGTGGACACACTTTCTCGTGTACTTGATTGTATGTTTCTAGCTCATGCGTGTACGTAGATGTACTTTAATTCTAATGAACTGGTCATGTGACACCAGCCCCATATTTCATTTTGAGGTGGTTTGTGAGATTCGTCCTTAAACCTAACCTTTTCCCTCTGGCTGAATGATGAACTCTTGTGTTTCCCAAAACTGGTCTGTTTCACTGTTCCTGTCACTGTGGAAGTGGTTCACATGATAAGAGTCAGAAATTGTCATCATGGGAAGTCAGTGGAGAGTTTGATGTGATGCATCCCAGGGTTTTCCCTGCTGTCTGAGAAAATGAAAAGCCCAGTTCCATCCACTTATTTAGCAGCTGTTCATAAACCATAGTTTAGCCATTTCCAGTTTGGTTATCAGATTAGTCCTGTGAAAAGGAGATATCGGCAGCTATGCTGTGTTCTGACAACATTCTAATTCATGGAGGACATGCAAGAAGCTGTAGCGATATGCAAAAAACAGTAACCATTAGCAGTCAGATTTCTCATTGTAGTCAGTTGAAGGTGATTTTATTGGTTACTATTTGTTACTGCACTTTCCTTACCATTATCTCTCATTGCTTGTTAATTAAATAAGCGTATTAGTATGAGCAGCAACGGATGGTATGTAGAGCAGTGGAGAAGTCATCAGCCAAGAAAGAAGAGTGCGCAGAAGCAGAGCTGTCTTGACACTGCAGAAGAATTGAGCAAAAGTGACATCAAGAATGATCTGTACTTGGATGGATGTATCGTGCCACCTGCCATCAAAGTTGCCGGACGACCTGTCCTGCTGCCGCCACCTTGGCTCTCCCCTCTGCCTACCAGATGTTGCTGCTGTTTTTATATCTTTGGTTATGAGGATCGTGTTTTAATGTATTAAATCAAACACATTTTCCCTTTATCTGTCTCCTACTGCACTGCAAGTAAACAAAGTTAAGAATTCTTACTAATCCACAGGAACTGTTCTTAGTTCAGGCATGTTTTTATTGTTGTTTTTTTCTTGGTTTTGGTTTCCCAGTGTCTACAGATTCTTAAGTGTGGACTGTGTGAGTACCAAATGCAAGTCCCCCCTTTTGGTGTGTAAACCCCCCTGATCATTTCACTCCTTATGAAATGATTAGTCACAGTTCTGACCCTTATCATGTCAACCCCGAATTACTTAAGCTTCTGCGCATAGCAGTGCAATTGTATTCTGACTTGTATTTTGCAATATGTTCTCCGCTTTGGTGGGCACAGTGAAACAGACCTTGATGCTGAAAATTCTATCATTACAAAGCAGGTTCTAAAGCGGGATCGGACCCTGGTGTGACAATGGCTGGGGTCTGTGTCACTCTCAGTCCTTCTTTTATGAAAATGTTCCGGCATTGAGAGGGGCGAATGGAACCCATACGTAAGTAAGTAAAACCAAAACAAAAAACACTGGGTGTTTAAAGCGAGGAGATTCAGCGTGGACAGTGTCTTCTACATGAGCTGGTTCAGTCCTGTTATGACTGGGGTTTGCAGGTCAGAGACCAGTCTCTATACAAGCCATGTTCTGTTTAATGTTTGGTGGTTGAGTATGCTTATTGTTTCACAGTTGCATATTAACCTGATTGTGCATTATTAAAGTGACACAGGGCTGCTAGATAACTCACTAACAAGAGGTGGGGAGGGTTCTCTTTACTGTGCCAAAATATGTTTCTTGCTTCAGTCCAGGATGACAGACTAGAATTTGCCCAGTGTTGAGGTGTCAGGATGACGGTAGGACAGCTCTTTGCACGGGTAAGCATGGGGTACCAGAGAGGGGATAGTTCACAGAGTCACCTGTGAACTTTCACCGCTCTATATGGAAACTTGTTGCAGGGTCAGATCCTTGTAGCTGCCTTGTGTCCACGGTCACTGCCTGCTCTACTATCACAACACTGCAGCCAAAGATTCATTAGGTAGGTAAGAATTTAACAAGTTTATCTTTTTTTTTTCCTTTTCTAAAACTTTGATATACTATGCATTTTTTAGTTATCTGTCTTTCACAGAAGTATGTTAAAATGTTATTTTCCCCTTGTGTGGCAGACTGGTGTCAGAACCATAATTGATCAGTAGAGGACGTTGTAAAAGACAATGCAAAAAACATGGATTAGCTTTGTGCATATTCTGCATGGAGAGATGTAGTCCTCTGTTATGTTGCTGGTATCTAGTAAATCTGAACTGTGTAGTTATCTCAGGGGGTTTGGAAGCCTGCCTTGGAAAACATTAAGAAATTGTACATTTTACCACCTTATTTTTAAAGTTATAGTAACATTTTGGTTTGCCCCTTTTCTGTCTCATCTGTCTGCCTTCTAGGATCAGTTTCTAAAGGCAGCACCGGTTAGTGGTGGAAGAGGAGCCCTACTCATGAGGAAGATGGGATGGAAGGAAGGAGAGGGACTTGGAAGAAATAATGAGGGAAATGTTAATCCTATTCTTGTTGACTTTAAGACCGATCGTAAAGGTAAATGTCTTTCTGCACATGTCAAATACAAAAATGCCCACACTTTTAACAGTGATTATTGCTTGCCCATACCTTTTTGGTGGTGCAGAAGTATGGGTATTGACTTATTAGAGCTTCATGGGACCTGTGGCTCTTTGAGGCAATATAGATAACTAGAAAAGCTACAATTTCTGGGGAAATCGTGTGAAGTGTTCTTTCCTCCACCAGTAGTCTACAACTGGAGTGGGCGGAGTGGTTGGAGTGGTTGGAGTAACTGTGAAAAGGTTGGAGTGGGCAGAGTAACTTTATGGAGTGGGCAGAGTAACTGTGTGGAGTGTTTGGAGTGAGTAAAGATAGTAAACAATACACTAACCAATTGATTAAATTTAAAAAGTGCACATGGCAAGCTTGATAGAGTGAGAAATGCATTTCAACTTTTAATTATTTATATAGCACATTTAATTGCAATGTTGTTGCCCAAAGTGCTTCACAGTTACATTAAAACATACATTTATAAAAACATTAGCAGCATTATCACGTCAAATACTCTCTACTGTAGAAAACTTATTTCCAAACTTTTAACCAGAAGCCGGCCAAACTGTCACAAATTCAAATTTAGATTTCAAATAGGGCAGAAAAGAGCGGTTAAAAACAAACTGCTCCAAATTGCTCACTTCACTGGCGTCTTCAAATGGTCGTAGCTTTAAAAACTATAAATCCTACACCGAAGAGCTTTATATTGTGAGAATCACAAGATCCAGACCTACATTTTGATGCATAGTATGTTTCTGAAATATTAAAAATGAAGGCACAGTCGCAGTTTAGAAATTGCCCTTCAAATTTGAGGTGGCTAGAGTGCAGTTTCAATGAATGTCAATGGGCGGGTGAGTTGCAAACAAATGGTGATATTGTGAAAACTATCAGGACTATGGCTTAGCCGTGGACATTTTTAGTGGCAGCAGGGATAGCTGAACGTTTTGATATATTTGTGTAGGTGGGCTTGAAAATGAGGGAGTGATGGCAGTTTAGAAATCATGTCCTAATTTTTCAGCTTACACTCTAGCTTTTGTCAGCTCCCACTCTAGTTTTGAACATTCTGCCTTTCATTCCTATGGGACGCCGATATTTCGTGAACCATTCGGCGAAACTTTCCACAAAGTAATAGCACACCAATCGGGAACAATCCGCACGTTTCGGTATATTACTGTCTATATAGTGTAAAAACTGTGGGAGGAGTTAAGGTGGTAAATTTGGCTATAATAATAAGAATATATATGTGAGATAACAGTATGTGGTCTTGCCATGCAAGAACACTTAATAAACACTTTTGAAATAGAAATGTATAGGAAATCATAGCTGATTGCAATGGGATGGTCACAGGGAATACCATTAAAGTGTATGTCTGAACAAAATTTAAAAAAAGTAAACATCTCTTTGCAGTACATGCCATGACTTGTTTAAAGACAACACCACACTCCATTCTGTCTTTCTCCAAAGCCTTCCTTTTTTTTTTTTACTTGACTGTTTTCTTTTTATGTGTTCTGTCTCGTCACATGATGTGTAATCCCTTCCCCTGAAATCGCTGCACGTCTGTATCAACATACTGTACAAGGCGTTCTGCCCAGGAAGTTGGTAACTTGATGCCCCTGCACCCCCACAGTCTTTCCTTTTGGGTTGAGGACATTTCATGGCTGCTGTACAGCTTCAAATTGAAGATGAGTGTTGTAATAAAAACGCAGCAGCATTGTATTCCTGGTCAGCGTCCTTGACACTTTTTTCACATGAAACTGCACCCCATATCAAAAACTTCTAAGAAAGGTAAAATTCCAAAAGATGTGCAGAAATGTATCATCTTCTGCTTCACAGTGCCAGCAGACTGGAGAGACTTGTGGATAGCCCCTGTGAAGGTTTGTAGGCACCTGCTACCATCTTGAAAGGACTTTATATCCTGAATCCTGTTAGTAATTGGCAATTTGTGGGCAAAATTTAAAAAAAAAAAAAAGTAACGTCCAGTCGAAAGAGATTCCAAAAGCACTCTCCACCAGGTTATTATGGTCTAGGGGATGAATCTAACCATGTGCATTCAAATAAAGTAGGTGCCAAGGCTGTGTCCTGGGGTTTGGTTAGAGTCAGGAGAAAATGTCTATGTTGAATTGCACGCAACAGAGAGAGTGGGGGTTCAGTCGGAGTCTGCTTCTCAGGAACAGTTTTCCATCCAGTTGGACTGAGAAAATGTTGAATGCTGAGCTGCTTTAAACACCAGGGGGGAGAAATTAAAAGCAAGAAGAATTTAGCCTGATGTGGGAATTTAAAAATACTACAAGTACAGGAAAATACCTGTCAATCCATCAAAATCCATTGCGCTCCTAACTTCCAGTTTGAAATGACAGTGCCAGAACCTGTTCTGTACTGAAATCTGCAGTGTTGTTGGCCCTGCCTGAGTTTTTTTTTTTTTCCCTGGACTATGGAACGCCTACCACTTTTCTCATCATCTCCATAACCTAAAGAGAAAATTATAAGCTCGCTGGATTTTGTGCAAGACTGTTAAATATTTTTCAGCATTAGCAGAAACTTTAAAAGAGAAGCACTGGTTAAAAAAAAACATTATGTTTCTTGTAGCAGTGGTGGGTTTTTCTCACAAGATAGGGCTGGATCATCTGATATAATTGCCTTCCCGCCATGAACATATTGTACTCGTGCACACTTTCAGGTTTCTGGAGCAGGCCATTCCTTCTGCGGATTTCCATGGAGGTGGTCTGTGGATAGAAAAAGCATTTATGTCTCATTTGTCCCTCCACTTCATAGCCAACACTTATTTGTTCCGTAAACTCACAGACTCCCCTTGTAGTTTTGTATCCACCAGCCTTTGCGGGAAGCCCTTTCTGTGGCTCTTACTGTGCCACATGCTAGTGTTTGCTTCTGATAAAGATTGTAGAAAAGGCTGGTATAGTGGTTATCAATGTATAGATCATAACCCTTTTTGAGGAGTGGGAATACAAGATCTCAAATGATTTTCCCACTGGGAATATACTCTGGGCAGTTAGGGGGATGTAGCTGGGTGTCCTTTCCTTTGTACACGCTGAAGGCATACGTGTACCCCATTGCTCTGTTGTACAACTTGAACAGTTTATCTGGCCCTTTTATTGGGAATGAACTGCTTGATACCCAGCCTGCCAGTGTAGTGAACAAGAGACTCATCCACACAGATTTTTTTTTTTTGTCCGGGATATACAGCTGTGAAAATTTCTCAGAGAAAAAGTTGAGAAGTGGACGAATTTTGAAAAGTTGATCACATGCAGGGTGATTTCGGGGAGGGCACTGTGGAGTTTATTTACTAAAACTGGTTTACTCAGAATCTGTGCACGGTAGCCAATCAGCTTCTAACCTAAGCTTGTTCAATTAAGCTTTAGCAATAAAACCTGGAAGCTGATTGGTTTCTATGCAGAAGTGCACGAGATTCTGAGTGAACCAGTTTTAGTAAATAAACCCCTGTACATTATCCCTGAAATAGAAGAACCGCATGATCATAAAATATCTTGTTCTTGGCATAACTGATGAATAGATGGGAATGTGATGAATGGGGTGGGTGGACCAGTAAGACTGTACCTATTTTTTTTGTAAGTCCCATATTAAATGTGCGGCTCAAAAAAAAATTTTTTTTAATTCTTCCACTGTTAATCGTTTCCATTCATTCGGATGGACATAACTTGAATTTGGATTATTGGCGATAAATTGTCGATCACAAAGGTAGCACTGGTCCACAATAGAAATTAATAAATCATTGGTAAAAAGTAGATTTAAAAAATTAATGGGTGCAGTAAAAGGAGGGATATTGGCTACTCCTGAGTTAGGGGTTTTCAAGTGCATATGGGACACTGATATGGGCCCTAACTCTTTGGGGCTGGCCTGACACACCACTAATACCTGGCCTTTCCTGCAGAGGTACTGCACTACTGGTGGATGCTACTGCACTACTGATGGTTGCCTGCTCATCTCCAGAATGCATTAGTTTGGTGGGCACACTTTCCTCCTCTGATTCTTAAAGACCCTCTACTTAACACTGGTTCGTATTCAGAATCCGACACAGAGACCCCCCCCCCCCCCCCTGCTCTTGTGGGTCATACTGAGGATTTGAAATACCTCCTTGCTGGTAAGGAATTTTTTAGACATAGTGTACACTGGCTGTGGTGACGCACTGCATTTATTGGGACACTGGTACAGATGTGGCTGCACTGATGAGGTGCGATATTGAGGCTTTTCTGGCAGGCGCTGGTGAGGCTGCACTGAGGAGGCTCAGATGTGCACTGGGGGGGGCTCCCTTGATGAGGCTCAACTGATAGATACTGATGAGTGCCCCCACAGTTATAAGCTTTTGTATCACTTGCCCCACCCTATTAGATTATAAGCTCTTATGAGCAAGGCCCTCTTAACCCTCTTGTATTTTATTGTATTGTAAATGTACTGTTTCCCTGTATATTGTGCTGTGCAATCTGTTGGTGCTATATAAATCCTGTAGAATAATAAGCAGCACTGTAAAGAAGTTATAAATGTGCGACTCACTGTGCTGGAATAGACAGTTGTTCTCTTGCACTTCATGTCTGTGTGAGGGAAGGATAACCATCAAACTTTGGATGATCATCGAACACAGCGATCATGTGGTAAAGGGCCGTTGTGATTGGTCCTTTACTATGACCGGTGATGCACAGTGATCACAGACACTTCCCAATATGCACCTCGGGGCTCACAAGAAGCGCATTCTCAGAAGGACGTCTATAGACACCCTCCCAGAACAACATAACCATGCTGTAGCCATGTTCCGCCAGAGTGCAGTATTGAAGTGGTTAAAGAGACAAAACATGGGGAAATATGCATGTATTAGATAGGTGTAATGAATGTTTTTCTTTTTTGCCCAGGCACACACTGTGTTTCAAAATGTTTTGTAGTCATTACATCATTTTTAAACAAGTCAAGCTTTTCCGTGATAGAGTTGGTTGCAGAGTATTCTAGACTGATTTTCATTGCTAGGAGAGTAAGAAAAACTTTTTTTTTTTTTTTTTTAATAAACATTAACCCAGAATGACACTGAGTGTTTCTCATTCTAGGATTAGTGGCAGATGGGGAAAAAGCCTCCAACAAGCTGACAATGCCTGTGATTAAGGATCTGTCTGGTGAGTTCTGTACATGTCCTTTAATTGTTACAAAGCAGATAAAGCTTTCCAAACATACTACACGACAGTTGCTGGATGTGGCTGCTTTTGGCTGTATTGAAGTATAATCTTATTTATATGGGCGTCGGAATACAATCATACTTGATAGGAACAATCATTGCTGTTCTTTTCTGTACCAGTCTGTTCCCTACATTTAGAGTACTTGTAAGCCCAGCAAACCTTTTTTTAATGGCCATTTGTAAGTTTTAACAGTTGTATCCTTGCTGGCACTGCTAGTGTCCAGTTCTGCCCTCTATGATATTCTGATTCATCACCTGGCAAACACTAATGTAATGATGAAGCACATCTAATTTTAATGATTATGTCACTAGCTTGCAATCGCTGTTCATTTCAAACATTAGTGATTTGTAGCTGCTACCAAATTACCTGTCTGACATACAGTTAAAGTATATTTCGACTTTTGCAGTCAAATTGGGATAACACCTACTTTATATTATGTTCCCATTCACATAGCATAACTTTAAATAAAAATTGCAGGCCATGCATTATGCATTCCTAGATTGTAAGCTCGAAAGAGCAGGGCCCTCGAACCCCTTGTGTATTGTATTTTTACTGTCTTGTCTCATGCTCCATTTCCTCAAGCTTAACCTCTCCAAAACCAAACTCCTCGTCTTTCCCCCTGCCCACACCCCCCCTCCCCCATCCTATCCATCACCACCACCAACACACACTATCATTCCCGCCCCCCGCAAGCCAAAGTCCTTGGCGTCATTCTTGACTCGAACCTCTCCTTCCTGCCTCATGTCAAATCACTTACAAACACCTGCAGGCTCCATCTCCGCAATATTGCCAAGATACGCACCTTCCTCACCCCAGACACCACCAAACTTCTTGTACACTCCCTCATCATCTCACGCCTTGACTATTGCAACTCTCTTCTCACTGGCCTACCCAAGTGTAGGCTCTCCCCACTCCAAACCATCCTGAACTCAGCGGCCAGACTCATCCACCTCACCCGCTCCCGCTCCACCTCTGCCCCCCCCCCCCCCCCCCCCCCCTCTGCCTCTCCCTCCACTGGCTCTTGATTGCCCAACGCATCAAATTTAAACTTCTAATCCTGACCTACAAAGCCGTTCATAACACTGCCCCTGACTACCTCACCAACCTGATCCCCAAGTACCACACTACCCGTACCCTTCGCTCCTCACAGGACCTCCTTCTATCCTGCTCCCTGGTCTCCTCCTCCCATGCACGACTGCAGGACTTCTCCAGGTCCTCCCCTATCCTCTGGAACTCACTGCCCCAATCCATCCGACTGTCGCCTTCCCTCCCTACATTCAGGCGCTCCCTCAAAAAACCCATCTCTTCAGGGAAGCCTACCCCACCCTCACCTAACGGCCATTCTCCCTCATTCCTCCCACCACTTCATCCCCCTCACCACTTCATTCCCCTCAGCCACATCCTATTGTTCCACTACCCCCTCCCTCCTAGATTGTAAGCTTGAAAGAGTAGGGCCCTCTTACCCCTCGTACGCTGTCTGTTTTTGTTGTACTGTGCCATGTATTGTCCCCCCCTATTGTACAGCGCTGAGCAAACCCTTTGGCGCTATATAAACTCGTTGTAATAATAATAATAATGTTCTGTCCCCCTTGCTACTGTACAGCGCTGAGCATACCCTTTGGCGCTATATAAATACTGTATAATATTAATAATAATAATAATAATTTCTCTTTCAACCAGTAGATTGAATGAAAAAAAAAATGCTGATTCCCCCATCCACACATTAGAGGGAATCACATGGGGGAATCACTCCTGCTGTGCTATTGTGTTCTGACAAAGGGAAGCCGCCTCAGTGTTGCTAGCAACAGGGTGGTTATACAGAAGTCAGTCAATAGATTGATGTCTGTACAACCTGCATGCCCACACACGGATCAAAATTCGGCCTCTTCAGCAAGGACTGGCCGAATTTCAATCCATGTATGACCGGCTTTACATTTTCACTTGCATAATATTTAGCTTTCCCCTGTCTTTGTAATGCAAGTGATTTTGGCTAGGGAATTATGTTTATCACAATTAACAATGTCTGTAGTTTGCTGTGCTGGCAGATTTTTATTAATCAGTTGCACAATGTCTGTCCTAATAATGGGTTTAAGATTGCAAGGCTTGGATGGTACGTTGTGTGTTAATGCAGTTAAAAAATAACTGTCCCTTAATTGCACATTGAAAACTATTCTAAACAAAATTAGCTGCCTATAGTCCTATGTATAGTCCCCACTCTCTTCTCATTGGCTCACTGGCTGTGAGCCAATGAGGAGAGAGAGACCCGGGACACCCGAGTCTCCCGTGCACACCGCTGGATCGAGAGGGGGCTCCGCTTTAGACGGGCTGCGGGGGGAGCTACACACAAGGTAAAAACCCTTCAGCCTTTACAACCACTTTAGTTCTGTTTATGTATGTTATGTGAGTGGGAACACATAAACATATAATGGGAGTTTCTCAAATTTGACTGCAAATGTGGAAATACATTTTAACGTGTAAAGGGTCCTGTTTAAAATGTCTGTTTATTAAAACACCTCTGTGTGAAAATGTGCAGCTGCTAAAATCTATTCACTGCAGATGTTACACTTTTGAGGTAAAGACAAAATATACCGTCTGATATTATAGCCAGTATGCCCACATCTAGAAAGTTCTGTTTACCTGACTTGCAATGAAGTGCCACAATCCCATCTGAGATTCTTCATCTGGCTCAAGGCTATGAGCCAGTGGTGTAACTCATTTATGGAGTGTGTAGCACACAATATGGGGCCCTTGGTCCTCCAACTCTGTTTTTAACCTCTTCCTGTGGATGTGGCGCATATATGCGGCCTCTCAGCAGGTGGGCTTTAACACCTATGTAAACAATTCTGTGTGCTGAGAGCGCACTCCCTACACTCTTACAGCACACACACCAGCGGGCACCAGAAATCTTCCGATGCATACTAGCGATCAGGACCATTCTGATCATGTGACAGCCAATCACAGCAGTCACATGACCTAAATGACCGTTTCTGCCTCCTGGCATTTAAAAGCTCTTTAAGGGCTGGAAATCAGCGGCGGGAAGGGGTTAAAGTGTATCTAAACCGAAAAACAAAAATGTCATATTTTCCAGCTAAAAAGAAGTAGTAAACCTCAACCTTAAAAACAAAGAAATACAAACCAAGACAATGGCATAACGTGTTAATATGCATCGCATACTAACACATTATGTGAAACTTACCTTAAAAAGAAGCCCTCCAGCTGCGCGTAGTCACTGCTGACATGGCTTTCACCTTCACCCGGTCCTTCCAGGTTTGTGGACTTCGGTGGCTTGTATGGCCGAGCCGCAATGACTTCACTCCTGCCTGCACTTTTTACAGCACACCGCTCTGAAGGAATGGCACAGGCATGCTGTTCTTTCACAGCACATGTGCCGGTGCTCCTTTACAAGTAAATATCTCCTAAATGGTGCACATTTAGGATATATTTACAGTACCTGCAGGTAAGCCGTATTATAGGTTTACCTGTAGGTACCAGTGAAAAAAAACTACTTTCCTACCACTTTAAACCAGTCCTTATAGGTGGTGGATGCATTATTTTAACTTTTCCCAACTATGAACGTATCCTACTCTTCATCTCTTTTACATTGTAGGGGGAAAGGAGTGTTCAATATATCAGAGTGTGTTGTTCGATATATCAGCCAAATTCACAAGAAGTTACAAAGACACTTGCATTTCTGGCAAGTTAAACTGGTATTTTTTTGTTGAAAAAATAAAACTAAAGCAAACAATATATCTAAGGACTGGCACGCTGCAATATTAGTTTTTTTTTTGGGGGGGGGGGGGGTTTAATCTGGATTCAGTGTCCTGTGTTACAGAATAGTCTGCTCTGTTTACAGATTGCTTTACTGGTGGACTGTTTTTTTTTTTTGTTATTATAAGAAATTGTTATCCCGTGCAATCCTGTGATACAGTTCAGGGCCTCTAGCACTGTTATGCTCATAGCGCTCACGTCTTCTGAAGCTGTAGTCATATCTTTGTGACAAGGCAGACAGGCTCTTTTAAATATTATTGGTTGAGTTCAGTATCCCACAACTGTGTATATTTTGTCAGGAAAACATCCCATCTCCGTTCTGATGGAGCTCTGCAACAAGAAGAAATGGTCTCCACCGGACTTCACGCTTGTGGATGATACAGGCCCAGGACCACCGCAAACGCTTTCTTTTTAAGGTAAGAACTGCCTTTTCAAAGCAGATTGAATTTGGACCTCCAGCCCCATTGTGAATAAAAGGTAGTGGGAACTTAGCCCTTCTTATTTACCAGTAATTCAAGCCATTATATTCAGAGGAGTGTGTCCTCTATTGCTAATTGGCTAATAATTTTCCTTATGTTAACCCTCTGCAGTGATCATCTACATCTACTTTTCTTGCCTCCTGATAGAAGGAATGACACTTAATCTACATAAACATAAAATATTGGCAGGATTTATAGACACTACGAAGCTTTCACGTTCATGAAATGTTGCTTCCCAAACCTTTGTGACTTGTGTTATGTGCCAAACCTATGCAGACTACTACTTTTAGTGTTTTGATCACCACTCTGTACCACCCATGTCCTGCAACAATGCTGACGCTTCCTGATATTTAATGGTAAATGGCCTTGCCTTTGTTGCAATGATGAAAATAAAAATTGTGTATAAAAACTGTGAAAAATAGTGGATCGCTTACACTCCATGCATACTCATACCATTGTGTCAGAGAATAAAATCAGAAATAGTGTCGTACTCTGCTATTAATTGCAAAATTTTTGAATAAATAAATAAAAGTCCAGCATCGAAAGAGTACATATCAATATCACTGCAATTATATTACTGCTGCAAACATGTCCTTATTAAGTCCGTGACCTTGACACTTCTAATGCTGTTGATACGAAGTAATAGCCGCGCAATCCACCAATTATAAAAAAATATATTGTGCACCTTCACCGGTTGTGCTCTCACCTGGTGTGTATGACCAAACCTTTAAGTGAGGTCATAAAAGACTTGTGTTCTTTTAATTGGACTTAATGATAAATGGATTGGATTATCCCTCTTTCCCTGGGATAGATGGATGAACGGATTGTTCCCTCTTTCGTCTCCTCGTTTCCTTATGGATATTCCTGGAGCTGGATGGATGGACGGGAATATCCCTCTTCCCACTAGGGGTTCTCCTTGCTTCCTTAGAAATTTTGCTCCATAAGTGTAATGGCCATGGAATGTAATAAAAGAATATAGTGCCTTATCCTCTTTAAAACATAATTTATTAAATAAAGTAGTGCACTCACATGTATTACAAGTTAAAAACGCATTAAAATGTTGAAATTTGAATCCACAGTAAAGTTTTCCAATATTGCTGAATACTTGCTGTATGTTGCTTTAAGCGTTGTGGCATTAGAGCCCCTCCCCTACGTGTTACACCACCAGGTCACGTGGCTTAATAGGGGTGATGTATTCATCAATTCCCCCTGATAAAGTCATGTGACGCAGTGGCGTAACGCGTAGGGGAGGGGCTCTAATGAGAGGACAGTTGCAGCCACTTTATTATTTACCTGTTCAATTGCATGGTAACACATATTGCTAATCAGCCAATCACATGGCAGCAACTCAATGCATGTAGGCATCTAGATGTGGTGAAGACGACTTTCTGAAGTTCAAGCCGATAATCAGAATGGGGAAGAAAGAGTATTTAAGTTGCTTTGAACATGGCATGGCTTTTGGTGACAAACGGGTCTGAGTATTTTCATGCACAACCATCTCTAAGGTTTATAGAGAATGGTCCGAAAAAAAAAAAAGAGAAAATACCAAGTGAGTGGCAGTTGTGTGAATGAAAATGCCTTGTTGATGTCAGAGGTCTGAGTAGAATGGGCCGACTGGTTCGAGATGATAGAAAGGCAACAGTAACTCAAATAACCACTCGTTACAACCAAGGTATGCAGAATTTGATCTCTGAATGCACAACCTGTCGAACCTTGAAGCAGATGGGCTACAGCAGCAGAAGAGCACATTGGGTGCCACTCCTGTCAGCTAAGAACAGGAAACGGAGGCTACAATTTACACAGGCTCACCAAAATTGGACAATAGAAGACTGGAAAAACGTTGCCTGGTCTGATGAGTCTTGATTTCAGCTGCGACATTCAGATAGTAAGGTCAGAATTTGGAGTAAACAACATGAAAGCATGGATCCATCCTGCCTTGTATCAATGGTTCAGGCTGGTGGTGGTGTAATGGTGTGGGGGAGATTTTATTGGCACTAGCAAGGTGTACCTAATAAAGTGGCCAGTCAATGTGTGTGTGTATGTATGTATATGTATGCATGCAAACAACACTAACTAACTTTGACACATTCATTCTTTTTTGGAATTGTCCAACCTGTACGTTGCTTCTTTTTCATGTAAGCATATGTATAAAACCCAAACAAGAAAACATTTAATATATTTCAGCTTACCAATTTGTTGATGTAATGGCTGCATTAGTATTCTTTTTTAGGGTTTTTTTTTTTCCTTTATTTTCACCTGGTGATCCTGCCAGTAAGGTTGTTTATTTTAAACCGAACAAGCTGTCCTGCAGATATAGCAGTTAGAAGGTTGAGACAAACCATTTACCACTGACATGGCTGCTTGGATGATTAGCTTTTTTTATGTAAAACCTCTGTCCTAAAACGAAAACAAAACTTTCTGTAACTGTTTATAAAGTATTAGCTGGAGTTTGGCTGCAAGTTGTTAGTGTATTTAAATCTGCTAGTACAGCTAACACCCCCCCCCCCCCCCCAGACTGACAATGCTGCTGTCCAGAGGTGTGCTTCTTCATTCAGAGTGGGGGATCATAATACAGGAGGTGTGTTACTGCCTAGATCACCAGGTGGAAACAGAGGGTAAAAAAAGCCTAAAAATAGAAAACTGATGCAGCCGCCACATCTAATGACTGGTAAGCTGAAATATATTATATTTTTGGGTTTATCAGTAGGATATTCACACAAGCTTTTGCCTTCAACACGTTTTAGCTCATTTCCTGCTAAAAAAAAAAAAAAAAAAAAAAAGAGCGGAAATCGTGCTACATCTGAATTTTGTTATTGTGTAACTCAATTTTATGAAAATTCAGGAAGTCTGTGGTCAAAGTTTGTGCTACACTTCTCCCAAAATAGATTTTTCTGTTTTACTGGGGAAAAAAAAAAGTTATCAGTGTGATTTACTATCCTCTTCTCTCTGTGTAGGTAACAGTCAATGGATGGAGTCACATGTCAGCCGAGCCAACCCAGCGTCACCAAGAAACTTGCCAAAGCCACAGCCGCCGCTGCAGCCCTTCAGGCACTGGGGGCTTTACCAAAGGAAAGCATAACCTCAACCACCAACTTCTGCAGTGCCTCCAATAGCACACTGTAGGTCCGTGACACAATGACGCCTCTTTACTGAGCCTTTTCAGCAAGAGAGGACACACTGTCAAAAGCAGCATCCTGTGAAGTTAGAATACAAAACTTCAGATGACTTATGATAGCTTTTTTTTTTTTTTTTTTTTTTTTTTTTTTGCATGATAGTGTTTTGTAATTGGGAGCTAATTGAGTCTGTGGCTTTTGTAGATGAAAGCTTGTTTGTAAACATCCAGCTGCTTTGTGGTTTATCAAAAAGACTGTTATCCTACTTTGTACCCTTGTTTGTGTCATTGAATGTCTTTGTCTGTAATGTCCTTGGCATCATTAATCCGGTAAGTTTTTTTTTTTTTTTTTTTTTTTTTTTTTTGTTTTCGCTTTAAAATTTATAAATTGAGTTATGAAATTGATACACCGATATCAAACTCCAGGTGCATTATGTTTTGGGATTAGTTGCTATAATGCTCCATGCGAGGTAAAGATATCAGTGTGCAAAGGCGGTGCTACCTTTAAGACCTGGAGCCTGGAATCCACAAATTTGTACTGGCCATTTGCTTGGCAATGACTCCTCTCCCCCAAAAGGTAAGATTATTAAAATATGAAGGAAATAACATCTTGCTCCAGTGATGCACTTCTATAAATTTATCAAAGTTAGAAATGTTAGTCTGTGTAGCCGCATCCAATAATCAGATTCATTTCTGTCACAGTTTAAATTCTTTATGCCCGATACAGCACTCCTCTTCCCATTTTGTGCAGAGACCAGACTCTGAATCGTGTTCATCACTGATGCTGACTTACTGACAAAGGCCTTCGTTTATCCTTGTTGTTTTTCTGTGTTGTGCCTGTTTTTCTCTTATTTTTTTTAATCTTGTAGCTTCATTGATGGAGCTAATTTATCTTGGCCCGAACAGTGGTCTGTAATTCAAAGTGACTAAATTGTAAATAAGTCTCAATAAATAAAATCTGGTACCAATAATAATGTCTTGTGACTCATTTATCTACAGTTTATCTGTGCTCTAAATCTTCTAGAGAGAATAACCCAACAGTTTTTTGTTTTTTTTAAAACAAAATGGAAAGTAGGTGTGACGGGCCGCCTGGCACCCCGCTTGAGTGCCTTCGTCTGAGAACTGCTTCCTTGTCACTGGGACACAGGACCAAGGTATTATAGCTGGGCATTGCACCCAAGGACTAGACGACACTAGCTTAGGTACAGCTAGAACTCAACTTTAGCGATTCCAGTGAAGGGACGGACGCTGCTCAGACCGACACAAAGTGTTCTGGGATGCTGCTCCTATCCATATGCCGGAGGGGTGACTTTCTTTTACTACCAGCTTGGAACAGCACTATAAGGGTTTCTCTGTGGAACTCAACTATATTTAAAATTCACACAGAATTTATACCACACAGAATCAGCTAAGAGTTTGATCACATGATCCTTTACAATGTAACCTGTAAACGGTAATATCATCAGTACATATAATGAACAGCCAACATTTAACAGTGATCTCATCGAACCGTAATTGAATTAACATCTAGCAGTGATATAATTAACAGTAAGCTAATCAACAGCCAGGCACTCAGACCAGTCAGGAACACACCCCAGGCAGCAAACCCATACCCCTGGATATACAAAGTACATTACACATGTGGTCTTTCAGGTGCTTGTATAATCTGTCCAGTAGAAAAGTCATCATAAGACCAAACTCATACAATATTCCAACAGTATGAAAAATGTGGAATTAATTTTTATCTTCATAGTTTTTTTGAGGGGGATTGTTAATAAATATTTCTGTCCCAAGTGTAGCTTCTCCAACCCAGTCTGCAGGAGGGCCACCATATTTCCTCTGACCATTAACCTGTACAACAAAAATTAATATTACACCTTCCCATCTATTCCAGAAGGGAAGCTTTATTGTCTTTATTCAGAGAATTAATCCAAACCTCGCTCTCATCACGTTCTTACCCATCATCACAGAATGATCTCTCTCCATGTGATCAGAGGCTGAACTGCGCTCTTTTCCATGCTCTGAGTGGGAGAAGCAGACAAAATCCCCTGTCGCCTCCATGAGCCAAAATCGGTGAATAGAAGGCTTGCCCCTTGTCCCCTCCAAAAGCCCTTGTCCTGGTTGGGTCTGTCACAGTGGGACTTATTAATTACTAAAAACATTTTTTTTAAAAAGAAACTAAGTTTGCCACACTCACATTGTAACAGATAAAAACAAGCCCATCAGTAAAAATAGCCATCAGTGTGTATCACACTCTCTCAGTACTCGCCGTATCACAGCAAAGCCGATCGAACGCGGTGACGTCAGAGCCCCTCCCCTACGCGTTACGCCTCCGGTCACGTGGCTTCATCAGGGGCTATTGTGATGTTTTTATCTGTTACAATGTGAGTGTGGCAAACTTAGTTTTGCAATAAAGTGTTTTAAAAGGATAAAGCACTATTCTTTGTTTCCCTTTATTACCATACATGTGGAGATTGCTGGAGTAATCTTTAGGAGGTTCATTCCCCAGGAGGGGTGGAAGAGGCATATTATATCCATTTATCCGTATGTCCATAGAAGAGGATTAAGTGTCCAGGTGGTTAATCAGGAACACTGAAGTGTGGAGAGATCCAAAGAAGGTGGTGGTCATCCAAGGGATCCTTCATCCTCATGTGGGATAAACTGCATTTATTAGCCCGATAGGCTATGAATTGAGGTGAGCGCATAATAGAGCAGCAGTGTTGCTATAAGGAACTTGGAAACCTGGAATTAATCCATTTGATTGAAGCTGATTTATGGGAAAGAGGACTTTTGTTTATTACACTGGGATGTTTTTTGATGCATGGGTGATTTTCAATGAGGATTTTTTGTGTATTATATTGGGATGTTTTTGCTGCATGGGTGGATTTTTAGTGGAACACAATTAAGAGGGTTATTGCATGTTTCTGAAAATTGATATATATGCACATGCTGTTTTTTTTTTTAGGGAGCGCAGCACAATAATTTATTTACTTAATTACACTGTTAAATATATGTAGATCTTAAGAAATTATTACAACCCATGGGAAGAGAGCATATTGAAGCCGAAAGCTTTGAATTTATCAAAATTTAAATGAGACAGCAGACCTCCTTCGGTCATTTTAACTATTGAGCACAATATACATCATGTGTATATATTGTATGTGTGTGTGTATGTATATAGGGCTCCATCTACAATGGTAGCAATAAGTCATGATGGCAAGGCCCTCTCACCAAACCCAATGACACAGTAGCAGTGGTCCCTTGGGGTTACTTCGGTCTGTAGCACAGTATAGTTTGTATCCTGGCAGTGGCTCCATCTCTCTGCACTCAGGTCACTTACACTTAGTCTAAACCCCGGACACTGCATCCACTATATCTGGTTTCGCACAGTACACACAATGTGGAAATGCAATTATTTTAATAAATATAAATACCTTTTCTCATCAGCAGTTAGTTATCAGTGTCCAGCAAAGCACTGGTTAAGACTTGTAGGTGGAATTTTCATTCTCCTTTAGGAGGATGCAGAACCCCTGACCTCTGTCTGGACTATGCTGATTAGCCCTGAGCAGAAGGCAGACATGCTAACCACTAAGCCACTGTGATATAAACCAGCAAAAGAAAGCTCCATTTGTTTGAAAAAATTATATAAATTTCGTATGGGTACTGTGTTGCATGACTGCACAATTGCCAGCTAAAGTAGCACAGTGCTTAGTAGCAAAAAAATGGTCTGGTTATGAAGGCTGTAAAACCTTCCGGAGCTCAAGTGATTAAGCCAAGCTTGACCATTGTAAGTATGCAAGAAATATAATTCCTGGAGTTGAGCTTTTAAGAATGTTTTCAGTATCGTATGTTTCTCAGTCCATTAATGTCCTTGAGAGAGCCAAGGACTGTGTAAGTTTTGAATATTTATCTGAAATCATTTTTGATCAGTCTGCTTATTGAAGGATGTACTGCTACAGACTGACTGTTCTTCATTTTCATGTTAATAAATGTCATCCACATTTTTTATTGTTCCTGAGTTTATAATTTATTCAGATATCCTGTGCTGACATCACCATCCAGGTGGATTTCTAAATATTGCATCATACCACAAAACATTTCAATAGCAATTTGACCCTTTTAGACTGAAGAAGAATATAGCTGTAACATAGGAGGTGTAGAAGCTGCCCCTCCTTACTTTCGTTCTGAAAGCGCTCGTTTTCTGTCTTTGATGCTCAATAGCAGCCTTCAGTTTCAGTACTTACTGAGCCAAAACAAGTATGCAAATTAGAAGTCCTGACTTCACACAGACTTTACTTGCTGCATGCTTGCTCATGACCAGTGTTTCAAAAAGTAATGAAATCACAGATAGCTTATTTTGCATTTTATATTTCAATATTTTTTATTGAGAAACAAGCATATTAAAACGTAAAACAAGATGGCAAACAATAAAAGAGAAAAAGAAAGGGCCCACCCACAAGGTGGAACAAGATTCAGAATCATAAGCATAACACTGGTAGGTAAATAAAAAAAATTAGCAGACACTTATTTAGCATTTTAAAGGTATCCTGAATGCAAAAAATTAAGATTTGTTATTTCCCAGGGAACATCCATAAATAGCCATTGTTCCTAAGCCGTGCCTTGAAAGATTTGATGGTTATTTTGTATTTCTTCTATTTGCAAATAATCGCTCTAACATTTGTCTCCTCACCAAGATTCTTGCTGATGGTCTTGTAGCCCATTCCAGCCTTGTGCAGGTCTACAGTCTTGTCCCTGACGTCCTTTAACAGCTCTTTGCCCATGATGGTGAAGTTTGAATGGAAGAAAGAGATTCTGTGGACAGGTGTCTTTTATACACATAACGAGTTGTCAGTAGCAGCTTCTTAAATTGACAGGACTAACCTGTGTACCACATGAGCACATAGCCAGTCGGTGGGAGCCAGAATTATTGTTGATTGTTAGGGGATCAAACGCTTATTTTACTCACTGAACTGCAACTCAGTTGATAACATTTGTATTGTGTTTTTTCTAT